CTAGGGATGAGATTTATCACTATCTTATTAACTAATCTAACTAATGTACAATAGTGTACTAAATTATCTATGCTTAGTGTAGGTTATAATAAAAACAATACCTCCAGATGTTTTTCTAACATTTTAGTGTAGTTTTCTAAACTCTTTAAACAGTTGTTTCTTTTAGATTATTCTAAGGTGGCAATGCATATGTTATGAATAATATTATTATTTATTTTGGTTTTGTACTTTACTGATAACAAATGAACCACATAATTTTTCTTATTTATTCTAATTATTGTTAATTTACTCATGAATAAAAATAATTTCATTTAAAGTCTTTTGACCTATTTATATTTAAAAAACATGTGGCAATGTAAATAATATGAGAAATCGCCTCAAATTGAACTTGAATCTATTTATAAGCAGTTTTTCTTGATAATTGGGACAAGCATCAGATATCGTATAAAGCCTTAGATTTGTGGTTTTGATATTTTTAGGTTCAAAGGTATGCAAGAATATGAAGTATTTTAGAGAGAGTGAGAACGAATTGAACCGATTTCGAATCTATATAAATAGTTTACACCGATGTATAACAATATTACGATGCGCCCAAACGACTATAGCATTTTCCTTATTTAATTTCTCTTTCTCAACAACGACAACCTACCCCTTTTTTCAACAAAAATTTATAAAAAAAAACTTATAATATGAAACAACAACTTTTAAATTTATGACCTTTTTTCCCCCGATGCAGAAACCAAAAATCGCAAAAGACACAAAAGCATCCAGAAATAAAACAAGAGAAAAAAAACGAAAGAAATCAGAATTAATAATAAGATGCACGCGAATTTCATAAATTAAAAATCAAGAAACATAAATAACTCAACAGCCAACTGAATTCCAAAAAAAAAGAAGATTCTACAAACAATGACAACAACAACAAAAAGAACAAAAAACATTTTTGCAGAAAAATCGGCAAGAAAAAATAAACAAATACGATTAACAAAAGAAGTCATAAATACACACAAACACATAGAAAGAACGAGCAGAGATGCACACTGGGACCTCGGAACATGCAACACAATTAAATTTGAACCAGAAGAAATAATAAACAACAACAACAAAACTAAATATGAAGCATATGTATGAAGTCAAAGGAAGTGAAAACCAAAGAGCTAATTTTAATAAACGGAATATAAAGAGATAAAAAACTCTTGACAAAGTCAAACAATGAGGTTGCGAAAGGGCGTTTTGGTGATGATGAAATTAATAAAAGTAAAAAAATTAAAAATTAAATGAATAAAAGCTAATAAAGACATAAAAACAAAAGGATTTCAATTGATTTCTATATTTTTGAACTGAAGGTGGTTTTCTAGTAAAAACTTTTATATTCTTTTAAATGTCAAGAAAATTAAGGATGTTATAACTTAATGTATAGAAAAACATTTGCAGCAACAACAAACATTTAAAAATGTTGCACTCCAGGGTATATTTCTCTAAAGATTTGCAATGAATCCTTATTTGTCCTCAGAATTTCTCCATCACATCAAGTTTTTGCCTTGCAGAGTCATTCTTCTGAGGGTTAATAGGACCCAAGTCTTTTAACCAACATTCTGTTCCAGCGAGTTTGGATTTAAACCAAATCCCCCACATGTACCTCGAAGGGACTTCACTAGACAAAGTCCGAGACTCTGCACTGTGGGGCACCAGTTCCTTGGTCACTGATTATAAGGCCCCCTGTTTCGACTCCAAGTCAAAACATTCCTAGAAAAAGCCAAAAATACATTTGACTCCATCAGTTTAAAGTCCCGACAGACTAGAGAATTATTAGCACCTCTTTTCTCACTGATTGAAATAACAAGATGAAGAAGATCATCAAGATAATATGGCCTGGGGGAGCCAAGAATGTCGAAGTGCTTAATGTGAGAACCTGCCATGACAGCGTAAACTTACAGTGGTCTTTTATCCACCGAGTGGACTTGGGAAGGTCCACCACTCGCCGCTGAATGACTTTAATGGTAAAAAGAAGAACCACTTCAGTGGCAATTTGTTGTACATAAGTGTGGCGGTCTATGCACAAGCACCTTGCTCAAGATCTCGAGCTAACTAAATCCTTGTCATAGTAGTCCCGTTGCGAAATGAACAATCCCAGTGCATACCCCGACAATGAAAAAGCAATCACTTATCTAAAGTCAATAGAAGAGGCGACCACAACACCCCCGCGAGCTGGTGGAATCAGTGAAGAAGTATTATAATTGGACAGTATTTAAAGAACTCCACTTCTCTTATCAACGCCACATACTTCGGCCACCGCCGACATCTAATAAGTCGTATAATAAGTGGACAACGTTCGAGACTTTGCTAAGGAACTATTTAGAACAGGACACATTTCTATATCAAAATATAGAGGATATAGAAGCCAATTTAGAAACGCTGATATCTGGCCTTTACGAGAGCGGATTCTGAATAGAAAATATCCTTGGCAACAATGAAGATTAGGAATCTTTGAAAGACTCTTCGTAAAATGTTCAACCGGATATAAT